CGCCTGCTTCGGGGGTCAGTTGCAAAGCGACCAGCATCGAATGGGCGTTTTGACCGCGTCGCAAGCGTGCCGTATGTGGCGACTCTCGCTTGAAGAAGATCCGAATGATGGCAATGTGGAAAGAGGAACTGGCAACCACAGAGTTGAAGATATCTGCGGGACTGACAACAACTCCGAGAACCGTGGGCTTGCATTGCAATGGGCCACTTGTCAAAGAGGATGGCTGGTGTGCCTGTGGCTTGTCCCTCTGTTCAAATAGTACAGTTACTGTAGATCTCTCGTTTACACCTGATGCTCGTTATGGTTCCCCAACCTTGCCTTGTCATTTAAGACTGTAACCGCACCGGTCATTTCGGGCACTTCGTGGCTTTCGCCACGGCCATCGGGGGCGCTTAAAAGGCAGGTATGGTAACACGCTTGTCCTTTCCCTAAACAGTGTAGTTGGCTTTGTTTGTTGTACATTCAAAGGGGTTGTTACCACAATTTTTGCCCATTTCATTAACACCCCATTACAATTCACAACCTGCACTGTCACAAACACCACGATTCCCCTTCGACCCAATGAAGTTGCTCCACCTGTACTCAACACAAATACCCCCGTCATCCATCCCAATTCTTGCAAATGTGTACAAGGCGTACACCTGATGCATTAGAGGATGAATGAAACTCAACCTCTAAGGGGGTCGAAATCCCCTCTCACAGCCACATCCACTCTGCAGCGGCCAGGTATCCGCTCATCACGGCGGGTGCACCGGCGTCAATCAGCTCCTGGCGGCGGGCCGACTGCGCCACCCAGTCTGGGGTGGGCACATGCGCCCACGCAGGAAGCACCCGACCGCGGCGACGAGGGGTCTCAGGCGGCGGGGTGTCGGCGTGTGTCACAGCCGGGGTGGGGCGTGGTTGAGATCGAGAGGCGGGCTCGCGCGTTCCATCCGCGCCACGATGATGGGGTTGCAGATGTCGAACAAGGCGCAAAGGTCGCGCGGGGAAATGCACGTCGCCCGCGAATAACCAATCAGCATCTCGCACGCTGCGCGAGCGGTGCGGTGCGCTTCGCGCGACGCAGGGTTGCTGTCGTCGTAGACAGCCTGCATCTTAGCATGCGCCTCCCACATTGCGGGTGTCGCCGTCGACGCGGCTCCCTTGCAAGCGGGTCCTCCCCCGTTTCGGCGCAGGTGGGCTGGTTGGCGTCGACGTTCACGAAATCGGCGGCGGCCATCGCGCTCGGCCCGAGACGCAAATGGTCAATGAGGAGGCCGACGCCGTCAACCTCTGCATCGAGGCCGATGTCGGCCACATTCGCACCGCCGCCGCCTGCGCCGCCGTTGTTGCCGTTCCCGACCCCCACGTGTGGGAGAGACATGGCCCACACGTGGGGAAGACATCCGGTGCGCCACCACCAGCGCTGGATGGCGCGCGGGCCAACGTTCATTCAAGCGTCGTGGAGCCACTTCAGCACAAGCCGCAAATTCGGCCTGAAACGCGCAGCCGCGGTAGTTGCGCTGTCGGCACACCACATGCCGGTAAAGGCGCGGAGCCAGTGCGCACGGTACCGCGCCTTCGCCATTGAGATGAGACCCTGGTCAAGAGGCTGGGTGAAGCAGGTCATGTTCGGGGGTAGATACACGAGGCGCACGTTCCCGAGCGCGCACGTGCGGAATCCGAACATGTCTTCGGTGGTGACACCTTCTGTCGTGAGCGTGTGGCTGCTGGCGTTGTCGAGCAGCACCACGATCTTCCTTCCCTCGGCGTACATGGTGGCGTCAAGCTGCTCGATGTAGTGAGTGAACAACTGCGCATGGCGATAGCGGGCGGAAGGGGAACAAAGCATTGGCCGTAACAATGTCACTTTTCGGTAACTTGAAATTGACGAGGTCGGCTAACGATACACACATGCCACGCATACTCACTGCCTTTGTCATCCAGCCTTTGGCGTTATTACGCCAGTAGCATTTCTCCTCGGGATTGTAGTCAGGGCGAAAGTCGTGGGGCCTCCTCACCTTCGAAATCACCAACGGCTTGAAGACACGGGACCCGTCGGCGTTGACGAGGAAGCCCACCGTCAAACGCTCCTTGGCTATCTTCGTCCGGCCGTGCGGGTGGTGCCATACGTCTTACGCGGCAGGATCGAGAGGAACAAAGCGGTCTCGTCGAAGTTGAAGGTGTCGCTCGGAGTGACGGAAAGATGCATCAACAGCTGCGGGAGTTTCTCCTTGGTCGTTCGGATGGACGTCGTGTCCTGGTCGGCCGCCTTGCCAACGGCGCTCATGCAACGGACACCCTGGCGGCGCAGAGCACGACGGGCCCAGCCTATGGAGCAGCGAAATGTGGGCGGAATCCCACTGTTCCGCGCCATTGTCGCCACATGGTCGCAGATTGTTGCGAGAGTGAGAGGCACGCCAGCCGGGCCCGCATTGGCGATCCATCGAGCCATTGCGCACTCGAGCTCGGAATGTGCGCCTCCGCGCACACGGATGACGTCGGCGGCCCCATCAGGTCGCACCCAACGGTCGGCACCCTTGAGCACGCGCCCAATAGTGATGCGGTCGGGGCGAATCCCGAAGCGAGTGAAGCACCAGCGAGAAAGATCAACATGGCGCAGGTGCGGATTTGCAACATGGTGGGCGCAAATCGCCCTCTTGATTGGCAAGCCCAGCTGCGAACGGTGGCATAAGCGAGCCATGGTGGTGAGGGAAGAGGAAACTATGATTGACGGGAAGAAGGCATGCCTTCTGATTGCTGGTGATTTTGCCTTTCTCGTCGTGAGCTGTGAGGAGGCACTTTGAAACCACCGATGCGCGATACATTTCTTTAGACAAATGAATCGAGTGATGGTTACAGGCGATGTGCTACCCTGTAACCACCACCGTGAACGTTGTGACGTGTGTTTGCTGCCACATTGAGAGGCTATGCGGGTGTCTGTATCGCCTTAGTGCAAGGTACAGGTGGCAGTAGGAATTTGGCAGTGGTCTGTTTTGACGCACCTTGACACACCTTACGTGGCACAGCTTGGATTCGCGAATGTGGCAACGATTTCGAATGTGTTTCGTCCATGCACTTCGCGTCCTTTGTTTCTGGCCAGGAAACAAGGACTCCCTGGGCAACACAGTTTGTTTTGTGCCCTACATTCATTTGTGGTTGTATTCATTCAACTTGGGTAAGTAGTCCAAGGCGCTCTAAACGTGGGTGCAACTTCACGGCAAAAAACCCACGGGTGCAATGTTTCCACCCGGTGCGAGACAATTTCGCGAGCATTGGGTGAGCATCATGTGTACTAAAAGTCCTCCATCTCCCTAATATAGACATGCTACGAATACATCTAAGTACACAGCTGGTTTAGTCATACAATGAATCACTCTAGCATAGCTTGTATTCAAATATTGTCTAGCGTAAGGGGCAGGAAAAGACTTGATTCTACAAAGTCCTGCCATACTCTACAACTTTTTTTATATGTGCAACTGCGATATCTCCATAATCTTCAGAGTTGCACAGATCAACAAATTTTGGGAAGCTCTGAATGATCAAGACACATCTTGTAGCTAGTGCCAGATGTGCACCTGGTCTTCCCCTTTCTCATCAGTTTCTGCCTTGCCAGCTGGAAATGCATTGGTTTCTTACTTGGAAGGTTGGCACATAAGGGTTGGGTCCACCCATTGGGACCCCTTGCTGCTCCAGCAGTTGCAGCGCCGAGTCAACATCCGCTTGAGAGACGGATGGGGAGCGGGACAGAAGGCGGAAGGAGATCTGTGGGGAACACCACGGGACCACGGAGGGTTGAGAAGGTGAAGGGCAAGAAGAATTGAGATGTCTTGCAGTGCCATGCGAGGAACTTGGATGGCCAAATCAGAACGAAAAACGTTGACAGTGGCACCTGGTCAGACTCTTTTTAGCAGGAGCGACAGGCTGAGAGCATTTAGATCGTAATTTGGGGGCCAAAGCATACACATGGCTAGCTCGAAGATTGCCTGCGTACCCGCGCTTGTTCTCCCCGAGCCAATGTTAGCGGGCGGCACGAAGCACGAGTAGATGAGCGCCATGCTGTACGAGTCTGACAGCGCCTGGTTGCCCCACAGCCCCGCCACCCACAATGTTCTCCACCACGCCCCGCCCGTTGCCGTACGTCACCTGCATCTTGCCCACCTGCCATGCTCGTGTGGTGTGGTGTGGATGGATGGTTTGGGAGTGGAGCAGCGGCTATTTAAAAACGGAGAATGTGCTGCTATATTAGCCGATGAATGTAGATACGCAGTGCATTTAAGGACGCGCAATGCAGTGCCAGCAGCGATATGAAAGACCGGGGTTGGGGAGAGGGGGGCAAGGAGGGGGGGGGGGGGGGGGGTCACATCCCGTGCAGGCATGCAGGCACCAGAAGGGTCGCTGCATTGCGCAGGCGCATGCAAGGGGCGTTGGGCGCGGCGGTGTACCTGCGAGGCTTCCACTTGCGTGACGGCGCCGATGGCGGAGTAGGAGAAAGCGCATGGCGAGGCGGGTTGGAGAACATGAGCCCCGCCATCGCCGCATTGATGCCGTCGCTGCGCCCATGCGCCCCGTCGCGCGCCCAAACCCACTCACGTTGCGCGTGAGCCCCACAATGTCGTTCAGGTTCAGCAGCAGCTGAGGGGAGGGACGGTGGAAGGAGGGGGGAAGGATATATTATTATTGTGTCTGTGTGGATGGGGGCGGGTTCAGGATGTTGTGGCAGTGCGAGGGGAGAATGAACGAGAACGGGAACAATGCAGGACAACTGCGGCCTCTGGAGCGCAGCGCCGCGCCGCTTCTCCTCCACGAGGGCTCAGCCGTTTTGTTTGCCGCGCAGGTTGCCGAGCTTGTTCTCCTCCACCTTGTTGACGACGCCGCGTCGCGATCTGCGCCGACTTCATGATGCTCACGCGCCCCTTGTTGATGGCCGTCGACTCCTCTGCAGCTGCTTGACGGCGCCTCACGAGCTTCTGCTTCGTCTGCCAGATGAAGAACAACGCGGTCCATCTGGCTCAGCTGCGCGTTCAGCTGCTGGATCCGCGCCAGCAGGTTCTACGCGCGCTCCGCGCGCGCGGAAACCTGCGCCATGGAATTCGCGATGTCGCCCAGCGCGACCTTAGACGTCCGCCTCGACGTCGTTGGGGAGCTCCGCCCACGACAGCGTCTGCTGCGCGTTGCTCACTTGCAGCGTGGCGGAGCTGCCCTGCGCGGGGGGGCCGCGCGATGGCGGTGCAGACCGAGCGCAGGTGGTCGCGCACGGCGAGCGCGGACTTGGAGAGCCCCTGGATCTGCGACTGGCGCGCGGGCGTGGTCATGCGGATGCCGCGCTTCACCACGCTAGGACAAACGAGATGGGGGGGGAAGGGGGGCAGTAAGGGAGGAGGGGGTTAAGTTTACCGCACAAGGCGGAATGAGGAACGAGGGAGAGCGAGTGGGACAAGATAAGAAAGGAGGATGGAGGGGAATGGCTATAGCGCACGAGAGACGGCGGCTTGCGGAGCAGCGACGCAGCACGATCAAAGAGGTGGGTAGAGGCGTGCAGGTAGGCACCTGAATCTGTTGAGGCTGTGGGTTGATGCCGCGGAATACGAAGTTGTACGTCACGGCACGACATGCCAGCTCGCCGCTCACTTCCAGCTTCGACTTTCCGCCGTCGACCCGATCTCGTACCACTTGCCCTGTAGCAATACCACGGAACACTCAAATTCGTCAAAACCTGGAGGCTGAAACGCTTGAACTGCTGGTGTCTTGACAAATTTCCACGAAACACACCGGAGGGAATGTGATAGAGAGGCTATGCCAAGACGAGTTTGGGTCGGTGGGGCTAAAAATTGACGGTTCTTAACCAGCTGTATCGACTGCAGTGCTATTGAACCGGCACGAAGACGCGCGTTGGTAGACGCGGTGTCATAGTCAGCAACTTGTCGACCAGCAATATGGAGGGGACGACCGGTACAAGAGTTAAAGGCCCATGGGCAGAGCGCGATTGGAAGGCCGACTGGAATGGCGCAGTACTATGCATGAATTTCACGGTGTACCCGCCTAGAGGCGCGCGCACGGGTACCTGGAAAAACTCCGCCATGAACGTGTTGCTCGTCTGCACGTCGGGGCACGCCCCCACCGTCTCCTTCACCAGCTCCTGGCAGAAGTATGTGTCCCCCCGCTCGCGCGCAGCTGCCACGCCGCGCACCACACCCGCGACGCACGCTAGCACAGCAGCCAGGCGGCTGCCGCGGCCTACTCTATAGGTGATTTCCATGGTGGATGTCAGGAGGGGTGACGATGACGCGTGGCTAGGCGGGACAGGATATTGCTGCTGACACGTCTTGATGCAGTTCAGCACAAAGGCTTCAGTACTGGATGTGTCGGGTAACACTTAACTACGCCGGTTAATAATAGACTGAGATAGGCTCAACTACGCCGGTTTAGAAAAAAATGCGAGGTGAAACATGTCACCTTCAACACCAGAAACAGGCAATACGCTATCGTTATGATCTATCTCGCCAACCTATCTGCATGAACCACCTCAATGCTTCTACGCGATTGAACTTAGTGATGAGGTGCAAAGGACGTCTCATCGACGAATGCGGACTTCTGAATCTGAATGCTTTGTCGGCTAGGAGAGTCAACGTGATGGAAAGTGGATTAGCAAAGCAGAGTTGGCTGATCTAGGGGCGTCATTCTCAAGGTGCTTGGTGCGGGCGGAGGCGACATTGGCGGGGCAAGAACTGCTAGTGCGCCAAATTCCAATTGAGAAGGACAGCGTTGGGAATTCGAAATTGTGATGAGTGCGACGCGGGTTGTTACATGCGCGCCTTGAAAACGCGCGTCGTGTATTCACGCGTCGGCATGCGTGAGTGATCGTTTCGAATCACCTGGACGCGAACATGGCAGGTAAACGAAAACGGCGGCCGTGTAACTTTCATCCGCATTAGAACAACCAAGAATCGAGCTATTGTTTGTCTAGAAACGGGGCGTTCTAAGTACCAATATAGATTATCGAGATTTTGCTTTGTAGTCCATTAATCACAAAGCCACAAGAAGTGGATACATCAGACAGTACAATGTCACATCCTATCAATATTGAAGCTAGCAACAAGATGAGCTAATCATTCTAATGCATGCTTCAACTTTAGTTGTGCTGGTTAGTTCTACTTACAAGGTCACAACCTTGAACTATTCATGATGGTCAGTTTCCCCACAAAGTGTTGCACACCGCTTCGTCTTGATTTGCCTTGATGAAGATGTTTGCTCCCCCTAGTACAATGCCTTGTGTTTCCAGTTGGGAAAGTCGGGCGTCAATCTCCGATTGACCAACTGATGTTGTGCGCGCCAGTATGGATACTGAGAACTGGGCACAGAGCACCAGATGAAAGAACATTGGCTTAGAAATATACAACTGCAGTTCGTTGCCAATAGCTCTGGAAAGGCTGGAACACATTGGGTTTTAGGGTTGTATTCCCATTTCCTCACCTGGCCGCCATCACACGACACAATGGTGGCCATGTTGTACTCGGAATCTGCGTTCCCTTCAAGCTTGTTGATCAGGTAGTTGTTATTCCGAGCGAATCCAAAGAGGCTCACTGCAAACTTCCCAGGCTGTCCAAGAGCAGCAAGGTGAGACACACAAGAGCTTATATTGAAGGAAGTGACAGTAGCATGTGGGCTATCCTCAGTCAATGATCATAGCAATGAATTGACGTCCCGCCCCGCATCTCACCTGCTTCCTGTCTTGCACGGCTTGCATGCGCAGCTGGGTCTGGGAATTCCAGGGGAAGGGGCGATGGGAACATGGTGAGGGAGGGCACGGAGCACCGACGCCGCCAGCAGGCGAATCACAGTCGTCGCCAGGCCCACCTTCCCTCTCACTCCCAGTTCCCAAGACGCGCGCCCCAGGAAACCAAGAGAGCCGGGATGTGAACCGGGTGGCGGCACTGCTGTTGGCAGCGGGCAGCATGAGCTGCATCTGCAGCACCGCCAGGCTTCCCCTCATCCCTGCGCGCTGAGCCCTTCCAGCAGCAGCAATGATGCGGTTGGCTGCGTCTGCGAGCCCTTGCTTCGTGACGTCCAGCCCAGGGGTCCTGCGGGTCGTTGTGAATGTGCTGGCGCGGTTGTTATGCTGCTGCAGCGCTCCCAGCCTGATTGTAGATCGCGAGGGCCTGCTGTGACAGGGTGGCGCCAGACGCAGCCAGTATGCCCACAGCTGCAAGCGCAGTTCCGTTGGCTTGCTGGGAAAACGGGCTCGTGCTGTTACTGCTGCTGTCACTAGTGGGCGTAGTCCCGCTGCTGTTTACCCCGCCACCCACCCCCTGAGGCCCCGGCACAAGCATCGCCTGCAGGGACGCGTGCGCCCTGCGCTGTAAACGGCCGCCTCGCACACACGGCGCAGGTTGCGCGAGATGCGCCCTTGCTGCTGCGGATATGCGCCACACCTGAGCGGGGGAAGGAAGAGGGGGGGATGAGTGCGGGGAGCAGTGGCGGAGGGCATGTCTGACGACGGGCAACTAAGTGATCGGGAGAGCATGCCTTGCACGAACGCGTTGGACGCTGGGCGGGTCGTAGTGTGGCGCACCTGATCGGCTCGTAACGGACTGACGGTGCGAAGGCCGCGACTGAGAAACCTGGTCGCGGCAAGGGGGGGCGCAAAGGACGAGGGCAGTGGCGCGAGTTGGGAGATGGCATTTGGGAGGGATTGCTGCAGATAGCCTTCCTGCGAAAGCTCACGCTTCTTTGTTTCCCGACTCGCGCAAGCAGGGGATGCGCAGGCTCGGAGCTTACCCAGCGACGTTGCTGCCGTCAGTGGCGGTGGCGAGCGCGGAGTACTTGGCGGCGTTGCACGACAGGCCGCTCGCCGTGCTGAATTTGTGCAGCGCGCTGCTTCCCACCTCGAACCACGCGCCCTGCGGTCACAGAAAGTGCCACGCGTTATCAGACTGGGAAAAACTGGAGAACGAGAGAATGTGACTGGCTGGGAATGACTGGGAAATGGAAAGAACCACGAGATTGCTCACACTCAGCAAGTAACACCTCCCTGCCATGGCTTCGTCGAACCCCATCACGCCTACCGTGAATTTCTCCAAGTCCAACGAGTCGACCGTCGATGTTATCGGGCATCGATTAGGAAACTGCGCTATAAAGGTATCGCAGAAAGCGGCGTGAGTTGTTGTTATCAACGCAACGAGGATGAATGACGCCAGTACGTAGACTACACATCTTCGTCTTAGCAGTGCCATGAAAATTAATCCAGGTAATTGGCCAAAGACGAGGCCTTCGTTTAAGGTTGACTGGAAGGCGCGAGAGGATTCTCGACTTCGATTGTGCTTACTAACTGGAGCAGGCGTTTCTCAATGATTGTGAACACGAGTGTTTTTGCGTAACCATGTAGTGAGAACAAAACACACGCCCTGCCTTGACCAGGAAATGTGAATTCAAGTGGTGAGTCGAGGCGCAAAATATAAAAATGCAGCGGGAAATGCCACCCGTTCCACCCAAAGCCAATCCCTGAAGCGACACGGCGATGGCTCTGAGTCTGCGACGCGAGGCGGGGGGAAAGAGGAAGACTCTGAATTCTGTACTCGACATTCACAGCAGCAACTACAGATTATTGGTACACATCTCTTTATCGATGTTTCATTGGACCGTATGTATACCGTCGATTCTAGTATTTTATACTCTCAATGTATGTACATGTTTGAAGCTCTCATGTACTTCACCTGATGGTTGTTGTTATAAGTTGTGAAAGGAAAGAGTGCGCAGAACTCAATAGTGCGGAAGTGATTACAACGTCTGAATGAACAACGAGGCCTAGGCATAATATAACAAGGTTAGCTAGGCCGAGGTCGCGGGGTCGCGGGATGGTTGGGTGTAGGTTCGGGGTTGGAAAACCCAAAAGCGACGCGGTGGTGGCTCGGAAGGCGAGGTCGGCGGGCCGAGCCTGGTTTTCCGAAAGTCGGAGTTGTACGCGTACAGTGTGACCCAGTAAGGAATCCGGAAAAATTCTTTACACTACCCCCCCCTTTAAGAAAGGTGGTGAATATCCGAAACACCTCGGCGGGCGAGGTAAGCGTCCAAAACCGGGTGTCCCAGAAGCGAGTCAGCAGCGACATACGTGTCGTCCTCGCTCGTGCGGTCTTTCCAGCGAAGCAGCAATTTCACTGAGCGGCCGGCAGCAGTCACGTCCACGCGATGGTTGAGAAATTTCCAGGGTTCCAGCGTGGGCTCTGCCACGGGGCAAGTGGTCGGCGCGAGGGTCGGTCGAGCAACAGCTGGCGACTGCGGCTGTTCGTAGTGACGCAACAGGCTGACGTGGAAGGCGTCATGTATCTTCCAATCGTCGGGCAGCAGCTGCTTCGCGGTGACAGGTGTCACCATCTGGATGATCCGAAAAGGTCCCACGTAGCGGGGCCGTAATTTCGCGGGCTGCGGCAGCCGAAGGTTCTTGGTGTCCAGAAGTACAACCTGCCCCGGGCGGAAGGGTAAATTCCGTCGGTGTTTGTCCGCCTGACGACTGGCCGTGGTATTAGCCTTGCGAATGAACTCGGCTGCTTTCGTCCGGGCGGTTTGCAGTTCCGTGACAAACTGCTGCGATCTTGGTACCGGGTTGTCCACAGTCGTGGAAGAGGGAACCACGGGGTCTATCGCGTAATTCAAGAAAAAGGGTGATTGTTTAGTCGTGGCCAATGGGGCGTTGTTGTACGCGAATTCCAGCATCGGCAGCGAATCTTCCCACCTGCGAATGTCGGGGCAGTTGGTGCGAATCAGCTGCTCCATGGTCTGATTTGTCCGTTCCGTCTGTCCGTCGGTCTGCGGGTGGTATGACGACGAAAACTGCAGGCGGGTACCGTACTGTGCCCACGTTTCCTGCCAGAATTTCGACGTAAATTTCGGATCACGATCGCTGATGATCGCCGAAGGTAACCCGTGTAGGCGTACGACGGCGGAGATGAACAGTTTGGCTGTATCTTCGGCTGTGATCGTCGTTCGGCATGGGGCAAAATGCGCCATCTTCGTTAGGCGATCGACGATGACTAGCACCGAGTCGTTGCCACTTGCGCCAGCTGGGAGCCCCGTGACGAAATCCATCGTCACCTGTTGCCACGGTCGTTCGGGTGGCGCGAGGGGTTGCAGCAGTCCAGCTGGCCGTTGTCGCGACGACTTCATTGCTTGGCAGGTCGTGCAAGTTGATACGTAGCGCTGTACATCGGTCTGCATGTCCGGCCAGTAATAATTCCGCTGCAGCAGCTTCAGTGTTTTATCGGTGCCGAAATGCCCGGAAAGGTTGGAGTCATGAACCTCCTGCGTCAGCAGCTCTCGTAAAGGCTGGTATGCTGGTACCCAAATCCGGTTCGTACCGGCTTTTAGGTAGTATTTGCCGTGCGGTGTAGCAGCCTGTTGTTGCGGGTTCCGAAAAAACCTGTCGATCTTGTAGCCGTGGGTGAATAGTCCCGTCAGCATCGGGTTAGTGTGGGCGATTAGTACCGCCGCGTTTTGCATGGTTGGTCGGGTAAGGGCGTCGGCGATGTTGTTGGCGCCCTTTTTGTACGTGATGGTGTACCGGAAATTGGACTCGAGGAATTCCAACCACCGAATTTGTCGCGGGTTGAGTGTCGGTTGTGTGCGCATGTACTGTAGTGACTTGTGGTCGGTCCGAATTGTCACATCGGCTCCCGTGAGGTAGCAGCGCCAGACACGAAATGCATGAACGATGGCCAGCATCTCTTTGTCGTGGACTGGGTAGTTACGCTCGGGTGGCTGCATCTTGCGTGACTCGTAGGCGATGGGTTGCAGCCCTTGGCCGAAATCCTGTAGTAGGACGGCGCCGACGGCGAAATCGCTGGCGTCCGTGACGACTTCGAACGGTCGAGATGGGTCGGCGAGGCGGAGTACCGGGGGTGAACCCAAAATGTTTTTGAGAGCGTCGAAGGCGGATTGCTCCCTCTCCCCCCACCGAAAATTACTGTAGTGATGCAGCAGGTCGGTCAGCGGCTTGGTTATCCCTGCCATGTTAGGTACAAAACGACGGACGTAGTTAACAAACCCCAAAAAACTTTGCAACTCAGGGATATTAGTAGGTGGTTTCCACTTAACGATGGCGTCCCCTTTACGCGGGTCGATTTTAATCCCGTCGCCAGAGACCACATGTCCCAAAAATTCCAATTCTGGCTTCAGAAACTCGCACTTAGACCCCTTTGTAATTAGCCGATGCCCTTGTAAACGCCGGAACACCTCCTCTAAATCCTGTAGATGGTCTTCTTTTGTCGCGCTGTACACCAGGATATCGTCCAGGTACACGATGACCTTCTTGTCCAGCATGTCTCGAAAATTCCATTCATGGTGAGCTGGAACGTCGAGGGCGCGTTTGTCAGGCCGAACGACATCACTGTGAACTCGTAACTGCCGTAGCGTGTGCGAAAAGCGGTCTTCGGGCAGTCGTTGGCGAACACGCGAATTTGGTGGTAGCCTCCTCGCAGGTCGATTTTCGAAAAATACCGAGCTCCGCGAAGTTGATCCAGCAGATCGTCGGTTCGTGGGATCGGGTAACGCGACTTTATCGTGACCCGATTCAGCGCCCGATAATCAATGCACATGCGTAGGCCACCGTCCTTCTTCGGCGTGAACAGTATCGGTGCTGCATACGGCGACGTGCTGGGTCGGATAAATCCCTTGACGAGCAGGTAATCCAGCTGGGCTCGCAATTCGGCGAGCTCTGGTTGGCTGAGCCGCCACTGTGACCGAACAGTGGGTTGCGCCCGTGGCTCCAGCTGGATCCGATGGTCTTCAGGTCGTTGGGGGGGCAAGCCATCCGGGAGGTCATCCGCGAAAATTTCGGGATACCTCCGAATGATGCTCGCCAATTCCTCGGGGACTGCCGCGTAGAGGGTGTCGATGTCCGCGATTTTTTCGGAAGCTGCCACCTCGTACAGATGCACCAAGAAGGCCTGAGCTCCGCCGTTCATCGCACGCTGCATGTTGACCGCGTTGACACGTGTCGTCACCGGCTCCGGCTCCGTCCATTTCGGAAGCGTCGTCTTCCCTCCGTATCCTCGCACGACGCACGTCCCAGTCGTCCAGTCGATCGTCGGATTGAAACGCTGTAGCCAATCCCTCCCCAGCAGCACGTCGCAGCCGTCCAACGTCGTCGCCAACATTTTCATGCCAAACCCGAAATTGTCGCTGCACTGTATCCGAATTTTTGCGCCTCATCTCGGATGGCCAACGGTGTTCTGTCCACCAACCTTGCATCGATCTTCGGCAGACACCTGGTCAACTTCACCCCAATTTTTTTGGCCGTTGCCAGGTTGACGAGACTGTGGCTCGCCCCACCGTCAACGAAGATTTTTATCTTATAGCCGTTAACCCTCCCTACCACCAGCACATGGTAGTCCACGTGTTCACCCACGTTATTCGTCCGGTTCTGGTCGATAGCTCTGATCGGTACCACGACCCGGTGTGGATGGTGATTGTCGGGCGACAGGGTCTCGTCAGTAGGTGGCCCGTCTGCTACTGACTCGTATCTTTTCCCGACCCTTCTCCGTCGTTCTTCTTCCCCTGCTTAAGCCTCGGGCAGTCTTTTTTCAGGTGGCCCAGCTGGTTGCATAAAAAGCACGGCCCAAGGGCTCGGCTCGGTGCATCCACGCCGTTGATCGTGGCTTGCTGAGTCGGTCCACGAAATCGAGGGCCCTCCCGGGAGCTCGATCTCGCCCACTGCATCAGCGCATCCGTTGACTCGGCTTCCCGGACGGCGTTGTTGAAGCTTCGTGGCCGGGTTCGTCGGACCTCGTATTGTATCTCGTATTTCAGGCCCGCTGTCTGAGGTCCACTGGTGATCCCCGATTGATCCTAGGGAAGGGTTACAGGCACGTTGGCGTGGGGGGTTATGGGCGCATTGACCCGCTACTTAACAAGCCCTTTTATCCCAATGGTCTAGTGGTTGGGATTCTGACATGGTATCAGAGCGAAGGTTTCGGGTTCGAATTCCGGTGTATGCACTTCGGGCATCCCAGTGCGGGGGGGTGTCTGAGGTCCACTGGTGATCCCCGATTGATCCTAGGGAAGGGTTACAGGCACGTTGGCCTGGGGGGTTATGGGCGCACTGACCCGCTACTTAACAAGCCCTTTTATCCCAATGGTCTAGTGGTTGGGATTCTGACACCCGCCGCGTAGCGATCCAACCGCTCTGCGTCGCTCATGTCGTCCACCTGGTCCGCCAAGTTGCAGAATTTGCTGGTGTAGTCTTGGACTGAAGTCAGCTGCTTCTAGGTACGCAGCTGCATGCGAGCAGAGTCCGAGGCGGATATGTGTTCGAATCTGGTTTGCAAGGCGGCGCCCCACTCCTTCCATATGCGTGTCGTGGCCGTCCCAAAAATCGATGTTGCCTGATGCGTGACAGGTGTTGAAGTCCCGTCGTTCGCACGTGCTGTTCCTGCCGAAGTCCCTTCGTGTTGCAGCGCTCGCCTCCACCACTCCAGCGCAGGTCCTCGCAACAGTGAAACTGCGAAATTAATGCCGGTGGCGTCGTCATAAATCATAGCAGCATTAAAGAACACCTCCACACCGAACAACCACGCAGAAACAGTGACAAACTTATCACTCGGGTTAAACGAGGGCGGGTTTGTCGGCTTGATTTTCACGAAAGCCGTTGCTGCCATCGGGGCCGTTAGCGTTGCTGCTGGCGTCGCCGTCGTCGTCGCTGCTGCACGTGGCGGTACTGCACGCGACTGTTGTGACGACTGTTCCTGCTGCGCCTGCCTCGCCTCGTCCGCATCCATCTCGCCTTCCAGTTCGCTCCAGACCCGCTCATCTGGTGTAGTGCTGCTACTTGCGTCGTCCACGACAGGCGACTCCTGGCGCGCTTCACCACGCGCCTGGTGTAGTTCGGCGTTTTCCTTCCGTAGACGCTCCATCTCTGCATTCATACCCTGCAAGTTGGCCTGCATCGCACGGAACTGTTGCATGAACTCGTTGAACTCGGCCTGCTCCATGTGCCTCAGGCTTCGTCGAACGGGCAGGGGGTGGCTCGCGATTTTTCTGACTTCGGTGAAGGCGTTAATGCTATCATAGTCGGAGTGGAATAATCAGATCTATTCCACGGGCCGACCGCTTAACAGCCCCACCAAGTCTATCGCTCCCCTTCTACAAACTACCCCGGAAACGCGAGGGTAACCTAGGACTTTAGGCTCTGATACCAAGTGTTATAAGTTGTGAAAGGAAAGAGTGCGCAGAACTCAATAGTGCGGAAGTGATTACAACGTCTGAATGAACAACGAGGCCTAGGCATAATATAGCAAGGTTAGCTAGGCCGAGGTCGCGGGGGTCGCGGGATGGTTGGGTGTAGGTTCGGGGTTGGAAAACCCAAAAGCGACGCGGGTGGTGGCTCGGAAGGCGAGGTCGGCGGGCCGAGCCTGGTTTTCCGAAAGTCGGAGTTGTACGCGTACAGTGTGACCCAGTAAGGAATCCGGAAAACTCCTTACAGTTGTCGTGAAATGGTCCCATCCGCATTCCCGGAGCTGAGGATGTACCGCCTCCGCAGCGCAGGGTGGCGCTCATGTTGCGCTTTCAGGTGTTGATACGGCACCATTGGCTGATCTCGATGGGCCTACGAGTCGCAGCTTCTGTTACATGCTTGCACCGCACTCTGCGCCCCTTTCAACCAGCCCAGAAATGCCTGCACCGCTGGTTGCTTGACCCAACCCAAGCCACTGAACGCGACAACAAGGCGGGCACAGCTGCGGAAGAAACGCCACTGAACGCGACATCTCGCGCCAACTGCGTGTGTGGCTGGCAGAATTTTCAGCACAGGACTTGTGCTGGATGAAAGGCGGGACCAAAGTGGATTATTAGGTCACGCTAAAAGCATTTAGAGGCTACGAGTGTTAGCTATTTTGTACTTCCGCTCGCGACGCTGCATCGCCATCATTGCAAACAGAGGCCCACGTCACCTTTAAGTAGATTCGGATTGCGCGGTTCCTCTGCTAGCGACATGGGCGCAGAACCGGACACGCAGCGCGAATCGACGCTGGACGAATCGGTCCAAGTGGCCGATGCGTACGACGACGACGAGGAGTCGCAGTACGCATCGGTCAGCAAGGTGGGTCGTCCACGTCGCATGCGTCGTAGGACAGAGGCAATCTGCGATGGTTGTGCGCGGCGATAGGACGCGATACTGCGGCGTGCTCGTAGTGCAGCGGGGATAGCGCTGCCGTCGATGGGACGCGCAGCTGCGGCTAGCGCATACGACAGAGTGCTACTAGTCCGTGACGAGTGGAAGGCACGACGTTGGGGACGACTGAAAGGGCGGGAAGAGTTACCAGTGTGGGTTGCGAGGGAAGAGGATGGCGTCACTGCGGGAGAGGAGTGGCCACACCGCGCGCGTAGCTCCTTCCATCCCCCACGCTCCCCTCACGTGCCACTCGTCTTCTCCACCGCTGCTCACTCACTCGCGCCACCAGCATTCTTTTTCCCGCCCCCCCCTGCGCCCCCCCCCCCCCCCCCCCACCCCCCCCCCCCCCCCCCCCCCCCCCCCCCCCCCCCCTCCCACTTTTCTTCCTTTCGTCCGGTCGCAGCAGACGATCGAAGCCAGTGCGCGCTACACGACCGTGCGACAACTCTTCACGTCCCCCGCCGACTACGGTCAGCCATGCGCCCTTCCTTCTCCATCCCCTCCGTCTAACCCGCTCGCCTCTCTCTCGCTCTCGCCTCGCGCCTTCTTGCATTCGCGCCTTCCGTTCGCCGTCCCCCTCACCCCCATCTTCCTCACCCCGTAACTTTCCTCTTCTCACCCTCCCCCCTCCCCTCCATCCCTTCCCTCCCTCGTCCTCCCTCAATCCCCCCTTGTCCCCTTTCCCTTTTTCAACGTCCCCCACCCGTCCCGCGGCCGCAGACCCGGCGCGCGAGACGCACTACGTGCTGGTGGTGCACGGCACGTTCGACTCGCCGCCCGCCGCGGGGAATCCGCCGCCGTGGTACTTCCTGGACGCGAAGCGCGCCGACAACTTCTGCCACCTCATCGCCAAGGACCTCAAGGGCACGCCGCTCGGCTTCGACGCCGTCTGGCGCCAACTGCCCGGTGCGCGGGGGGGAGAAGGGGGCGGGGGGAATTGCACGGAGGTGGGGGTTTGGGGAAGCTGGCGGGCGAGGTGCGGGGAGAGGGGCGCTGCAAGGTTAGCGATAGGGGCTCTGACGACCCGTTGACCCTCTTATTCACCTCCCGCATTCTCCCATCCGTTTCCCCGCCCTACACTCTCTCCCCCTCACTCCCCCGCTCTCCCCCCTCCCCGTTCCCCACGCGCGCAGACTCGCACGCGGGCATGCGGCTGCGCGAGGACGTGCCGTACCCTTTCCACTGGTCGGGGCACAACACGCACGAGGCGCGCGTCGGTGGTGAGCGCGCCTGGGGGGGAAGATGGGTGAGCGCGCCTGGGGGGGAAGATGGGTGAGCGCGCCTGGGGGGGAAGATGGGTGAGCGCGCCTGGGGGGGAAGATGGGTGAGCGCGCCTGGGGGGGAAGATGGGTGAGCGCGCCTGTGAGGAATGGGGAGTGAGGACGTGGCCCGGGGGACGGGGAGTAGGGGTTTGAGCATGCCCGAGGTACAGTGAGCAGCAAGGGGCAAGGATGATGGGAACGGCACGGCCAAAGGCAGCACGCCATGCTTGCTCGTCCTCGTGCAAACCATCTCTCTTATCCGCCAATGCCGCCACTCATTACCCCCCCGAACCCATCTATTCCACCACGGGCCCCCCTCCTTTCCCCCTCCCTGGCGCAGCGGGCAAAGCGTTGGCGCAGCTGATCCACGCGGTGGGGCGCGCGGACCCGTCGGCGCGCGTGCACGTGGTGGCGCACAGCCACGGGGGCAACGTGGCGCTCAAGGCCGTGTCCAAGTACCTCTCCATGCTGCGCCGCGACTCCCGCGACCCTGCGCGCGCCTCCCACGACCAGATCACCGCCGCCTTCTGGGAGGCGCACGCTGAAGGGTACCGAAGCATAAAGGAGCACCAGCAGGTGAAAGTGGGCGCGGTCTGGATGCTGGCGTTCGCGCCGTTCCTGGTGGTGAAGCGGCCATGGCGGGGCGACGAGGCGCTAGGCGCCTTCCCCTACGCCTACTTCCGACGCGTTGACTCGCTTCTCGGCCTTCCCAAGCGAGTGCCGCCCCCTGAACCCCTCCTTCTCCGCTCCCCCTCACTCCTGTCCTTCAAGGCCGCCCGCCTCCTCCACTCGCTCCCCACCTCCCTCCACTCTCTGCTCCTCTTTCCCTCTTCTCACCCTCTTCGTCACTCCCTTTGTCTCTCCCACATATCTCCTCCACCCACCGGCCATAACCCCGCAACCCTGTACCCCTTCCCTTGTCCGTCCCCCACTCCCTCCCCCCAGGGTGCGGCAGGCCAAGTACCTGCGGAAGAAGTGGGCGGGGAGCAGCAGCACCAACTGCTTAGGCCGAATGGTGTTCCTGGGGACGCCCTTCTACACCAAGCACTGGGACCCGCAGGCCGCGCGCACCATGGCGGGCACCATCCTCGCCCTCTCCGTGCTGGTGTTTGTGGTCATCGTGGGCGCCGTGGTGTCCGTCAAGTACGCCATCTTCCACGAGGTCAACACCGCTGACCTCACCGGCGGCGAGGTCAGCCCCACACCCTGCCAACCCACTCTATCTCCCACCACCCTCTCTGCCTGCCTGCCTGCCTGCCTGCCTGCCTGCCTGCCTGCCTGCCTGCCTGCCTGCCTGCCTGCCTGCCTGCCGGCCTGCCGGCCTGATCTGCCTCATCAATCCCAGTCTGCCTGGCAAGCTAGATCCCACACTCGCTCAATCCTCCCTGCCCTCGTCCTGCGCCCTCTGCCTCCTTCCTCTGTACCACCTCTCCTCACTGCTCGCCTGTGCGCGGGGCCTCGCAGCTCACATTCTGGGTGACAGTGGCGGTGGTGTCAGTGGCAGTGGTGGTGTACAACACGTTGAGCAGCAAGCGGTACAGTGCAAACTGGCAAGCCATACGCCACACTCACTCAATCCTCCCTGTCCTCACCCTGTTTCCTCATGGCCGGGGGGCAGCTCACATTCTGGGTAACAGTGGCACTGGTGTCAGTGGCGGTGGTGGTGTACAACACGTTGAGCAGCAAGCGGTACAGCGACGGCAACGTGTATTTCACGGAGAAGAAGGCGTGGAGCCCAGCCATGAGCGCGCTCGTGCTCAACGCAGGGAAGCTCGACGAGGCCGCCCTCGCACTCTCCACGGAGCCCCTCGTGCGCGCATACCTCATGCCGCAGGTCAAGGTGCGCATACCTCATGCCGCAGGTCAAGGTGCGCATACCTCATGCCGCAGGTCATACTTCCAGCCCAAACGCCATGCTCGCTCCCCTCCAGCGCCACCTCTTCTCTCCGCGCATCCCCCATCCCCTCAATCCTCCATTCCCCACACCCCATCCCCTCAATCCTCCATTCCCCACACGCCATGCCCTCGATCCTCCATTCCCCACACGCCATGCCCTCGATCCTCCATTCCCCACACCCCATCCCCTCAATCCTCCATTCCCCACACCCCATCCCCTCAATCCTCCATTCCCCACACGCCATGCCCTCGATCCTCCATTCCCCACACGCCATGCCCGCGTGCGCCAGACCATGCTGACGCCCGACCCATGGCGCATGCTGCGCCCCTTCCCCGCCAAGACATGGCTGGTGTCGCTGGCCAACCTGTACAACAACTGCTGGGTGGCGCTGTGGACGGTGGTGCTGGCGGTGCCGTACATGATCCTGTGGCTGCTCAACTTCCTCCTCGTGCCCTACTTCTGCAACCAGCTGCTGCGCCTCTTCATCACCCTCGGCTTCGGCCTGCAGAAGGTAACCACCGCCCTGCCCCCGCCACCACGCATCCTGCGCCCTGCCCCCGCCACCACGCATCCTGCGCCCTGCCCCCGCCACCACGCATCCTGCGCCCTGCCCCCGCCACCACGCATCCTGCGCCCTGCCCCCGCCACCACGCATCCTGCGCCCTGCCCCCGCCACCACGCATCCTGCGCCCTGCCCCCGCCACCACGCATCCTGCGCCCTGCCCCCGCCACCACGCATCCTGCGCCCTGCCCTGCCAGCATGTGCACACATGCCAGTTTAAAGCTCAAAGCCCAAATTACGGGGCGCACAGGGCAAGATTACCAATCTTGCTCAACATCCGTTTTGGGTGCTGTATTCTGGCGAATTCTGGTTACAGTATGTATGAAGCAATTCTATTGGTCGAGGCCTAACACAGGGCTAAAACTTCAAGTTTCAGCTTTCTGCAATTTGGGACTCGAGATCTCAAACAGGCTACTGGCCCCAGAGTTTGCTGACTGGGCGAAAAAGCACCTGAGTGTTGCGAAATCAGACAACGCGTCCCTCCCAACACCTGCTCATCTTTCCCAAACCACCCAGCCTTCAGACTTGCGCAAGCTTACTGAACTTGTGCAATTTGGGCCGCGAGCTATAAGGGGCAAGGAAGGTCACTGCGGACTTGCTCTAGCTTTCTGCCATTCCACTTCTCTCCACCTTCTCACTATCAGTTTCTTCTCCTCACTGCACTGCACATGGCATGCTGTGGGTGTGTGTGCTGAATGGCATGACATGGCATTGGATGGCATGGCATGGCACGGCATGGCATGGCATGGGGTCACAGAACGAGTTGGACTGTGCGCAGGTGTACGTGGAGGAGTGGCTGCGGCTGCCCCCAGCGACGCACAGCATAGCGCATTGGAACGTGCAGAAGATCCTCACCGCCGCCACGCTCGACCAGCTCAAAGACCTCCGCAAGCGATGTCAGTCTCCCACCAACACAAACACCCCCCCCCTCCTCTTCCTCGCGGCCCCCACACTCGCGCCTTTGCCCTTCCCCCGCCCCTCCTACCACGCCCTCTGCTCTGCCACACCTTCCCCTGCGCTCACACCTTCCCCTGCGCTCACACCTTCCCCTGCGCTCACACCTCCAGCCGCTCACTTGACACTCCATCCGTCTCCATGCCCTGCCTTGCTGCCCCTCCCACTGCACTCTGCATGCACCCTCACCCCTTTCTTCCCCTCCTTTCTCCCCTTCTCCCCCCCTTCTCCTCTCCCCTCCGCTGTGTGTGGCATGGAGCAGCGGTGATACCAGGGGAGGCAGCGGCAACGGAGGAGGCGTTGATGGAGGCGCACACGCAGCTCGTGGACCCCCACGCCATCGCGCAGCGCTGGCGCTTCCTCTGGGTAACTGCTGCCGCCCTGCATCCATGTGCCTTCATTCATGCCTTCTTTTCAAGTGTGCACCCAGAATGGGGGTGTGCATGTCACCTCATGCTCACTGCACTCAACCCCACCATTCTCACTGCTCCCGCCTCTTTCGTTATGTGCATGGCATGCATGGCAGGATGACGCGGAGTTGGAGAGGAAGGCGGAGGAGTCGACGACACTGGCGCTGCTAAAGAACCAAGTCGATAAGATGGCACACAACCCCCGCATCTCCAGGTGACCCACCGTGCACCGCTGCGCACACACCTTCCTCACACGCTGCATGCACACACCCTTGCCACATCCCCACACCATCTCACCCGCGCCTCTCTTGTTCCCTATCCCCCGTCCTCCTTGTCAACGCCCCTCCCTTTCCCCCGTGCAGAGTGGCATTCGAGCGGGAGTTGAAGGTGGTGTGTGTGACATTGGAGGAGCGGTACAAGGACATGACAGGCAACGTGGAGCTGTCGCACGGTAGCTACTTCCGCAACCACGTCGTCATCGCCGTCATCGCGCACTTCCTGGCCCACGGAGAGGTGCCCTCTTGGGCGCCGCAGCTGGGGGAGATGACCCCGCCCGCTCAGAAGCCCGCCAAGAAGGGCCCCATGTCGCGCCTCTTCAGCCGCCGCATCACACCCACCCCTGACGAGCTCAACAGCACCCCCTCGCAATAACGCTGGCACCTGCGGGGGCTGCATGCAAGCTCCCCTTGAAACACATACGGCAGTGGTAACAACACTCTGCAGGGACTCGGGTGGAATGCTTTAGGTGCGAGTGCTGTCAGCTGGGGCTAACACAAGCTGGCACTTGAGGCTGGCGCATGTTTTGTCTTAAGCATAGACTGTGTCTTCATATCTGCGTGGTAGGGCTCATAAGGCCACTCCAGGTGGCCAGTGGCCCTGTGTTTAGGCACTCTATGTATGTTAATGCTAAAACACTGCAAGGCTCAAGCCATTTGCATCGGTGTGTCCCACAGAATGAAGGATGAAATGAGAAGCTATGGAAGGCAACGAGAGGACCCGACTCACTAATACCTGCATGCAAGCTCATGATTACCAAGAAACACAAGTACAGCAAGCTCTGCTGTTCAGTGGAATGAGGCACAATAACCCTCAGCAGGCAAGGCTTGGGGTGTCCTGCCATGGTGTGTAACTAGACCTCTGCCATGCCCATGCACCATGCCCCTGTCATATCCCTGTTTCAGCTTCACCCTCACCCTCCACTTCACCCTCCACCCGCGCCACAGCCTCAGCTTCTGCCCGACCCCAGCCGCGACTACTGCAGCAATAGTAAGGGTGCCCCTGTGTGTCAACTAGCCGAGGCAGTGGCGGGGGAGGCGGAGAAGGAGGAGGAGGCAGAGGAGGCGGAGGCGGAGGAGGGGGAGACGCCGAACTGGGAGTGGAAGTCGGCGTCGGTGAGCCCCACGATGTGCTGGATGCACACGGCGTGCGACCCGAACGTCTGCAGGATCTCGTGGTGCGACCGCCCGAACTTGCGCAGGCGGCGCTCGTTGTCCGTCGTGATCACCTCGTCGTGCGCGCGGATCGCGTACCCCGCCGCCAGCAGCACGGCGCAGCGCGGGCGGATGCGCGAGTCGAGCGAGTAGCCAAGGTACGCGGGGAAGTTGAGCACTTCGAAGCGGTCGAGCCCCAGCTCTTCAAGAAAGCGGAACTTGGGCAGCAGCACCTTCTCCCAGCTCAGCGTGAGCGCCTGCGGGAACGCGTTCACGAGCTTGTCCGTCGCGGCGGGGTCGAGGAACATCTCGAGGCGCGAGTACTGCCGCATGAGGCGCTTGGTGTCGATGGTGAGGAGTCCGGGCGCGACTTTAAAGACGTTGGAGAGGCGGTGCTTGTGGAAGATGGAGGCGAGGTACTGGATGCGCTGCACGATGGCGTCACGCGACATGAGCAGCACCAGCGGCTTCTTCAGCAGCACGTCCGCCACCTGCTCGGCCGCGATGAACTGCTTCAGCACCTCCACGGTTTCCGTGATCTGCGCCTGCGACAGCCCCAGCACGCGCGGCTGGCGCTCGATCATGCGGTAGATGTCGCGGCCCTCACCGACGATGTACTGCAGCTTGGCGAGCGACGGCGTGATCTCGCTCTCGCTGAGCTCCATGATGCGCGGGAGCGCAGCAGCACGCGGTGCACCTTGTCGCGCTCCACGCCCAGCGACTCGAGGTACGCCACCATGTCGTAAATGCGCTGCACCGGGCTGTGCAGCCAGCGCGGCTCGCGCACGAGCGACGAGGCGACCTCGCCGAGCGAGGAGCCGAGGTCGAGCAGCACGCGCAGGCGCGCGAGAATGTCCACCACGCTCAGCTGCAGCACGTCCGGGTCGCTCGATATCGCCTGCGCCACCTGCTGCTTGCCCAGCCCCAGCGCCAGCAGCAGCCGCACCACCTTCGTCTCCCGCGAGTCGCATTTCCGGTCGAGCATGGCTACAGTGTCGTCGACGAGCCCCACGCTGATGGACCGCAGCTGCGGCCATTCCGCGTCCACCGACTCCTGATGCTCCGGCGATTCCTGATTTTCCGATGCATTTTCTAACGATGCGCCGCTGTCCGACGCGCGGGGAATAAATGTTCGTGACGCCGACAAGTGAAGGCTAAGCCTTTGCAGGCCACGCTCTAACAGCGAAACCCCGGACACTCGCGAGCCTTGTGACTGACCGAAAGACGCAGTAGCAGGAGAGATTTCTTGCAATAATGACGAGCCTACACTTGCTATTGAGTGAGCCAAGTGCGCTTCCGCAGCCATGGCTCCTAGCAGTCAGACCAAGGACGGGTCTAGGACTTGTTACCCTAGAAACGAGAGGGCGAGAGAGCTAGTGGGAGTGTAGGTTTAGGGAGGAGCGGAGTGGTGAAGGGGAGGAGGGAGATGGAGGGAGGTATCCAGGGAAGCCTGCTTTCAAATCTGTCTACAAACGAGGGATTTCGATTTGAAGTTTCAAAAATATGACGCTTCCACGATATAGTAATGCTAAAACAAGCGATTTATGCGCAATAATGTTGTGAAGAAAAGCAACCTCTAGTAAAATCAGAATGTGCCTGCTGATGTGGCTGACGACGTTTCCGAGGCTCCACGTGGAGTCCCATCGGATTTGGCAATCCCCAAAAATATTGCGCTGAGCGCGGCAACCCACCAGGCAAGCCAAACACATTTCTCTTCAAAATCCAACCTTCTCTAGGCCAGAGAGGGGTAAAGAAGAGCAAATCGTGAATCCTGATTCACAATTTCCCGCAGCCCAGAAGCTGAAAAGCCAGTGAGCGACGCACTAGCACGGATCCCTCATCACCATCACGTCGCTCACAATCAGCTTGCAAGCAACGGTTGGTTCCGCTCAACAAAATTTTCTCCTTAGAACCGCAGCGTAAAACTTGCCACAATGCAGAGTGTGGCGGCGCTCGATGCGACGCGTCAAATTCCACGACTTGGCATGGCGCAGCCGCTATCCAGACAACCATGTCGAGCGGATCGCGTGAGAATGCTCGTCAGTAGAGTGCCAGCTGGGCTTAAGGCTGCAGGAACGGGGGATCATCGAGTCGCGATGGCGATGCCAGCCGCGCATGCCTCCGCTGCGCTGGCTCTCCTCGAACCAGGTGAGCGTCCTCGTTCCCCGTCATTCTGATTTCCCGCGAACCAACCAGACGGCTCATCTCTTCGTCGTCTCGTATGGCCCCTCGTTTCCCGCCTCTCTCGATCCCTCGCTTGGTTCTGGTTCGTCGCAGCCCCGCCCTCTGCTTAAATGCCTATCTGATGCCCGATCCTGCGTGCCCTACGGCTGCTGCGCTGCAGACATGGCTCGAGCGGCGGAGGACGTGTCGTTGCCGCTAGCGTTTCTCAACCCGGCCTACGACATGGTGAGTGCGCAGGCCGCTGGCGTAGGGTGCATATCTATCACAGTCTCTCATCCTTGCTTTAGATCGCGGGCCGATGCGTCTGCTTTAGTTTCGTGGGACCGGAATAACCCTTCGTACGCATGACCGGCGCCCCTCCCGTGTCCCCCCGTGCGCGGCGCGGCGGTGCAGGTGGCGGAGGCGGCGCCGCTGGAGTTCAGCGTGCTGTTTCTGTACCTGGGCGGGCTGCTGGCGCTGCTGGGCTTCGGCACCTTCCTCGTCGTGCGCCAGGTGCTCGTGAAGCGCGAACTCGAAAACGCCGCCAAAGAACTGCAGGTGAGGCCACGCCGGGAGATGCGCGTGAGGAAGAGGAGGGGGGCAGAGAGTATGGGACGAGGCAAGGCTAGAATGTCCTTCACAGGCGACGGGAATGTGGCGAACATCAATAGCGGGGAAGGACGAGCGAGTCGGGGGATGGAACATGGCAGCAAGGACACATTTGGGTTAGAGAACAGGATGAAACTGGCACATAACAGGAATCAAAGGCCTTGGACTCGAACCTCTCGACTTGATCCCTCTCCTCCGCCCTCCCGCGTGTGGCATGGTTGCGGCAGGATCGCGTGCGGTCGGGTGAGGCGTCGAGCGAGGAGTACTTCGAGCTGGGCGCCATCATGCTGCGCAAGAAGTTCTTCGTGGTGGCCAACAAGTACCTCGAGCTCGCCATCGCCAAGTGGGAGGGCGACGAACAAGAACTCGCGCAGGTGCGGGGGGATGGGGGGGTGGGTGGGGTGGAGAGGGAATGGGGCGGGAGTGGGGGGCATGGATGGCATACCTGATGAGAACGCAAGCATGTCGTGGCACGTTTACAGGCATGGGCATGCAGGCTGATGGATGCACGCGCGCAAACACCTGCATGCACACGCTCGCATGTACATGCGATGCGAGCATGCGCGCACGAACACACACACACACGCGCTCCACCCCACTTTCTTCCCCCCTTCCCCACACATTATTAACGAAGCGTTTGATGGAAAGCACATGCACATGAACATACCCCCCTGCACACAGCAGCCCCACTGACCGTTCAACCCACCCTCCCACCCATGCGCCCAGAATTCACCTCACTACCTAAACCTTGTGCTTGAAGGCTCGCTTGTCTGCTCTGCTCCTCACGTGCTGCATGCCTTGCCCACTCCCTGCTGCCCTGCCTCCACTCCCTGCTGCCCTTCCCCCGCCCCCCCCCCCCCCCCCTTGCCCTGTGGCATGGTCTTGCGGTGGGTGGGAGCAGGTGTACAACGCGCTGGGGTTCAGCTACTTCAGTGAGGAGAAGCTGAAGGAGGCAGTGAAGGCGTATGAGAAGGCCGTCAGCCTGCAGCCCGCGTACGTGACAGCATGGAACAACCTGGGGGACGCGCTGGAGAGGCAGAAGGAGTGGGCGCGCGCCCTCAAGGCGTACGACACAGCGCTGGTGTACGACCCCTCCAACCGCATTGCTGTCGGCCGCGCCAAGGACCTCCGCCAGCGCGTCGACCGGCTACGCTACTGATGCCCGCCTCCTGCTCTGCTGCACTCTGCATGATGTGTCCCTGAATAAAGTACTAGTTTTAACAAGAGAAGATGTTAAACTGGAGGTGCACAGCAAACCCTCCCTTGCTGCAGTGTTTCTTCTTTACCAGGGAGTGCCAACTTCCTGCTTGTTGTTGTGAGCTTAGATCCTGCTGGTAGCTTATTCTCTTTCAACATGATCAACCAGAACCTCTGAACAGATTGGGAGGTGAAATGTGTTAGACGACTGTCAGAAGCCACCCGTTTGACTTACGGCCAAAGAACCGTTGAGACAATGTCAACCGATGAAGTATCAGAGCTGTCTATTTGGTCCTTCGCCGAGGTCAAAGTCACAATTGATGTAGTGCCTCTAACGAGGGACGTGGTGCACAGTGTACACAAACTGTGCTTGCGCCGCCACGCAATGAATTCAAGCTACCACGTAAGGTACAACAAAGATCAGAGTGTTCAAAGAATTTGATACATATTTCCCCTTTTAGTCTCAAATAACGCTGTTAGAGGTATTGAACAGTAACGTTCAACAAAATGCGCCAAAACCCAGTAGGAACCAATATTGATATACGGCAAGGACGCGGCACCTCAAGCAATTTTGCACGATCGATCGCAGGATCGCTGATTCAACCGTACTGAAATCCTGCTGAAAGCCTTTAAAGCTTTTTAAACCATTTAAAACTCCTAAAACATTTGATCCTGCGCAGGATCGATCACAGGATCGGTGCTGGAGGTGCCGCATCCTAAGCACCTCCCCCAATTTTATCAATGTGCTGCTTTGAAGATTTAGTCATTTCACAATAAATGAAGCCGTGTAGTCGACACCCCTATAAACATCGCCAAACCGCCACCTCCCGAAGGTGACGGCGTCGCCATGCCAAGTCCTTCACGACAGACCTGGTGGGGCTCTAAACGTCCAAGGCTGCGATAACCAATGGATGTAAAGAATGTTCGTTCGGGGGGGCCAAGCCTACCTGGTTGCAAAACCCAAGCAGGGTGCAAAAGGACCTTCGGCGTCGCACCAACCAATAGCCGTCGCACGCATGGCGTTTCCCCTTTCCCAGAGCCACGAGAGCCGCCAAATTCCATCGCCGCCCAGCCCCGCGCAACCACCTAGCGCTGTACCACGCTTCGCCCCTTCCTCCTCGACCACAAGTCCGCCCAGCACTTTGATTGACTGCTCCGTCCGCCTCCCCGCCAAACCCACCCCGCCCCCTCTATTCTCCGCGATCCCCTCCAGTGTGTCGAATTCGCCCCTCCCCTCAACACCCAGTTGCAAATTGCAACTTGCAATCCAACACGTTCTTTCCTTCACCGCGCACTGAACGAGTTGCATCTGCCGCGCTCCTTGCGAACCAAATTCAACATCATCCTTTCCCCCTCATGTATGAGCTAATGCCACCAGCTAGCCTCTTCTGAATATTTTCCTTGACACGCAGCAAGTCCACCCCGTAGTTACTAGAATCGGTAGGTGCAATCATGGCCGACCCGCCCAGTAGTGCGGAAGGCGATGCGGTAGTTACTGTAGAAGATGCGGTCCCTTCCAATGCCACAGCCCCTCTCGCCGACGCGGCGGCTGCTCCTGATGGCGAGTTTCCCGCAATGGCGGAGTCGCCGCAAGCCGCGCACAACAGCTCCCCCAGGAGATGCGGGTGCACGCCGCCATGCGGGTCCGCGGACTGCGACCGCATGCTGTGTCTGCCGGGCGACCCGAAGCAGCAGCACCGGTGGCGGTGGGCGCTGGCGGGTATTCTGCTGCTCTTCGTCGTCGGCGTCGCCACACTCGTCGCGCTGCTCTTCACCCTCAAGCCCTCCTCGTCCTCGCCCTCGCCCTCCCCCGCGTCCCCCGCGAGCACTGCCTCTGAACTCAACACCTCCGCCGTTCCCATGCCACTGCAGCCCAAAGATCCCATCATCTCGCTCAACCAATCCGCCGCCCCGCCCAACGATTCTGCTCTTGCGGCCCCCGCGCCCGCCCCTGCGGTCCCGCCGACGCCGGCTGACGACCCCATCCCCATGCCCGAGCTGTCGAATCTCACGCGCCCGTCGCAGGCGCGATTCGAGGGGAGGGAGGGGGAGTGGGGGCAGTTCAACTGGACGGAGCTGTACCAGCAGAAGCAGACGGACCGATACCACACGTGCGACACCCAAGGTAGGCCCAGCGCCGTGCGACACACAAGTAGAACGAGGAGTCGAGTGTAATCTGAGAAATGGTGTGATGAGCAAATCGGGTAAGAGCTTTGATCGCACGCAAATCCGGTCGCTCCTGCAGGGCCTCTCCCGCCTCTCTCGTCGCCGGCCGCTTGGCACGTGTGTTGAAGAATCAATGGCTGGTTGACATTGAGATTGAAAACAAGGCTGATTTACATGCGTGGCGTGGCTGTGTGGTGCGTGCGTGCGTGCGTGCGTGCGTGCAGGGTACGACTACGTGTACGTGCGACCCAACTTCACCGCCACCATGTGGAAGGGCTGGGGCACCTCGCTCGCATGGTGAGACACGGTGATGCACGGTGAGACACGGTGATGCACGGTGAGACACGGTGATGCTTGGTGAGACACGGAGATGCACGGTAAGTCGTACATGGGAATGATGAATTTATGAACATGCCTCCCAACAAACTTCCCTCCACCGACTTCCTCCCCCAACCCTCACTCCTGTCTCTTGCATTCTCCTCCCCCCCACGCGCCCTCCCCCTCCGGCGCGCGCAGGTGGGCGAACCAGGCGGGCGGGCTACCGGAGTGGTGCATGGGGCGGCTGGTGGAGCTGGTGTTCCACGCGGACAGGGGGCTGGGGCTCTCCATGGCGCGCTACGCCATCCCGGGCGGCTTCAACGCCATGTTCTCACCCGCCATCGCGCGCACCAAGCACCCCATGCGCGCCTTCAAAGAGGGCCCCCTCGCGCCCTACAACTGGTCGGCGGACGCGGGGCAGCGCAAGGTGATGCTGGCGGCGAAGCAGCTGGGCGTGCAGCACTTTGAGGCCATCTCGTACTCGCCGCCGTGGTGGATGACCGTCAGTGGGGACACGGCGGGCAACGACCACGGCGACCCCAACATGCGCCCGGAGCAGCGGGGGGCGTTCGTGCAGTACCTGGTGGACGTGATGCAGCAGTACCACTCCGACCCCGCGTGGAACATCACCTTTGAACACATCAACCCCTTCAACGAGGCGCTCGAGGGCTGGTGGCGCGCGGGCAGGAACCGCGAGGGGTGCTCGGTGAGTGTGAACGACGTGGACGTGGTGGTAGCGCTGCTGGCGGACGCGCTGCAGGCCAGTGGGCTGCCGACGCGCATCTCGGTGGCGGACTCGTGGGTGGCGTACACGGTGCGCAGCATCAAGTCGCCCACGGAGGCGCTGCGGCCCGAGACGTGGGAGAAGGTGGACCACATCTGCGTGCACGGGTACCAGTCGAAACACTTCCCCGAGTCGTGGCAGATCGGGCTGCAGTACAAAGACCTGCGCGAGTCGGCAGCGCGCATAGGCAAGGAGGTGTGGCAGTCGGAGTGGGGCCCCATTGACATTTATGGCACGGACCTGCAGCTGGCCATGTACATGGCGCGTACCGTCATGGAGCACATCAACATCATGGGGGTGGCCGCCTGGTACTACTGGATGGCCGTGGAACCAAACACCCACGGGTGGGGGCTCCTCCGGTTTAAGGGGGAGTGCGGAGAGAGCGTGGAGAGCATGAAGCTGGTATTCAGCAAGCAGTACTACGTGATGAAGCACCTCACTCGCGCGGTGCCCCCGGAGTCACGCATTGTGCGCATGGTGACCAAGTGCGAGCACGGGGTGGTGGCGGCGTACAGCCCCCGGCACAAGCGCCTGACCATCCTGGTGACCAACCAGTCGTTCAAGGACTTCCTGCTCACCCTCCGCGTGCAGGACTTCCTCTCCGCTGACCACTCGGTGCCTGTGCTCGTGCACGTGCACCGCACGTCAATTAAGGAGGACTACGAGATGATCGACCAGATGAACGTGCAAGTGCCGGATAACGCCACGTCCCACTCCACTGACATCACCATCAATGCTGTCCCCATCTCCCTCACCAGCATCACGCTGTATGAAGTTGTCCCGAAACCCGACATTGAGATTAAGCAACCAGTGTAGTTCTTTCCAGCACGTCTTCTATGCCAGCATGTATATGACTTGGCTCATGCCTTGTGAGCTAGTTGATAGGCTTAGGTGTTTTGGTTATCTTCTCTATAGGTATGCTCTCGAATGGAAGCTGTAGTTCAATAAAGCGTTTATGTATTTCTGCATAAATTTGATTCGTTTTAATGTATACACGTCGGTAATCCTGACTAATTAGGAATATGGAGTATTACTGGAACAAAGTCTCACACAAGACGCCAACAACGAATTGTGACCAGAATGTGGTTTTTTTCGCGGCAAGAATCCACGAGTGGAGCACGACTTCGACACGCGGCGATTTGCAATGGTTACCCCACCAACATTGGGCCAATAGAAGCGCAGCGCTGAGAGGAAAGAGCACTGTCAGCTGTCGCGCTGACTAGGCAAGGAAGCAGGCCAGCTTGTGCGTGCGCCCGTCCAAGGCTTGCGCGTGTGGGAAAGAGTGCGCAATGGGCTTCGCACGGGTGATCATGGCGGGGATGCGAACGGCTGGAGGGAAATTAGACGGTTTGGGGGGCGGGATGGACACAGCTAGCGGGAAGATGACCGGCGACCGAGACAAGACCCAGTTGGGGTGCAACGAATTGCGCGGGCAGGAGAACCTGGTGTAACGATAACTTGCTCGAACCCGCACCAATTCGATGCACGCGACAGGACTGCCGTTGACAGCGACCATCAACCAACCCTTTCATGCGTTCTGTTTCCAGTTGCTGTAGTCAAATCCGCTGCTTCTGATCGAGAGGTCGCAGCGCTCACCTACACAGGATCTAACCACCGTCTCATCACTTGGTCGAAAAAACGTAATTTTGCAGCACAAGAAAGTTGTTGTGCTGCCGTCGCGATATTTCAAACGCTTGTCGATCACCGTCCTATGCTATTGTGGACGGTGAATTTTAAACGTTTAATTGTATACCACGAAAAAATGGCAGCGTCAACGTTGGGCGCTCAGCTGACACCAAGGAGCACGATGAGCGCAGTTGGCTCGCCATGTCATGGCGCTTCCCCTCCCCGTCCGCCAACACTCGTGGCTGCCGCATTCTCAGCCGCACCACACTGCGCGCGTACCGTAGGCCGTCCATCGCTCCCGGGCTCTCTCTTCCTCCGCCCCCGACTCTCCGCGCCTCGCCACCCTTGCCTCCGCCCATCCCGCCCCATCCGCGCACCTCCTCCCGCGGCTGCGCTCGACGGGCTGGGCGCGGTGTACGGGCAACTCGCGGACGCGCTGCTGCACGGGTGAGTGCCGCCCGCTGCCATCATCTTTCCATTAGCGCTTTATGCGGGTGGGGGGAGCTGATGAGTACGCCATCATTTTCCAGTGCTCGGCGGGTCGCGTGTCGCTTGGCGCGCAGCATCGGCATTGCGTTCACGTGGTGTTCGTGGCCTCACCGGCATTGCGGTCGCCACCACCCCACCCCCCCCCCCCCCCCTGCGCTGTGCCCACATCCTCGTGCGTCGCAGGGTGCCGCTGGGCATGGACGTGACTATAGCGAGCGTGCATCACGAGGTGGCGCAGCTCGCGGCGTCCGCCGGCATTCCACTGGACGACCCCGTGAGTGCCCTCGCGCCCCCCCACCTCTCCTCCTTCCGTCCCCTTCATCCGCAATCCGCGCGTCGTTGCGCCTCTTGCTTGCGCACTAACGTGCTGAGGTGGGTGCGCGTGGGCGGTGGTGCGCGTGGCAGGTGGCGTTGCGCGAGTGGATCGCGTCCGTGGCGCTGCTGCTGGCGTACGCGTCCGCGCCGCCCTCCGGCCCCATGGGCCTCCTCGACTTCCTCGTCGCGCCCCTCCACACCGTCACCTTCAGGTACAGTCACACCGTCACCTTCAGGTACAGTCACACCACACCGTCACATTCAGGTACACAGAGGCGAGCCCGCAAGAGAGGCAAGCGCGCACAGAGAGGCGAGCGCGCACAGAGAGGCGAGCGCGCACAGAGAGGCGAGCGCGCACAGAGAGGCGAGCGCGCACAGAGAGGCGAGCGCGCACAGAGAGGCGGGCACGCACAGAGAGGCGAGCGCGCACAGAGAGGCGAGCGCGCACAGAGAGGCGAGCGCGCACAGAGAGGCGGGCACGCACAGAGAGGCGAGCGCGCCGCAATCCACGCCGCACTGCCGCCTCCCTTGACTCCCCAAACGCCCCTCCCCATGGCGTGTTCCCACCCCCAGGCGATTCTCCCCCTCGGAGGTGAAGGTGGGGCGACAGCTGGGGCACGGCAACTTCGGCGTGGTCTACGAGGCCACCGTCGCCGGGCCGCGCGGGCAGCCGCAGCGCGTGGTGGTGAAGCGCAAGGCGGCGGGCGCGGGCGCGGACGAGATGCAAGACGTGGAGCTGTTCATGAACCACCGGCTGCAGGTGAGCTGTTCATGAACCACCGGCTGCAGGTGAGCTGTTCATGAACCACCGGCTGCAGGTGAGCTGTTCATGAACCACCGGCTGCAGGTGAGCTGTTCATGAACCACCGGCTGCAGGTGAGCTGTTCATGAACCACCGGCTGCAGGTGAGCTGTTCATGAACCACCGGCTGCAGGTGCGGTGATGAAGCCCCAGATAGCAACCATGCCTTCATGTGGCAGCGAATAAGTTGCAGCACCGCGTATAGATACTGCCCGCTGATGTGTTCGTGTGAACGGTTATCTGGTTACTCAATCCCATTCGAGTGTCTGTGTTCGCGTGATTGCAAGCTTGTGCGTGCATGGTTGCATGGTTGGATGGGTGCATGGTTGGATGGGTGCATGGTTGGATGGGTGCATGCGTGCATGGGTGCATGGGTGCGTGGGTGCATGGGTGCGTGGGTGCATGGGTGCGTGGGTGCATGGGTGCATGGATGCGTGTGTGCATGCATGCATGCAGCGTACGGTGCCAGGAGTGGCGGCCAAGTTCCTGGGGACGATGGAGGTGCAGCCGGGGAACAAGCTGCAGGAGGTGAGTCATCACGCGCTCACCACCGCATGCCACCTATTCGCACTCTCTCCCGCACCTCTCGTGTCGCGTTGTGCATGTGTGGGCGCTTCTCTGCATGTGCCAAGAGTGGCCTATTTACTGCCTCTGGCCCCGCTGCCCTTCTCCCTGCCCTGTGTGGTGCATGGCGTGTGGTGCATGGCACGGGGCATGGGGCGGGCGGGCAGGGCGTGTGGCTGGTGTGGCAGCACCAGGGCGACAGCACGCTGGACCGCCACCTCAAGGACCGCCAGTACCCCGCACCGCTGGCCGCCATGCTGCTGGGCGTGCAGGGGGACGCGGGGGGGTGGTCGGAGGAGCAGCGCATGTGGGTGGAGTGGCAGGTGGCGCAGACCGTCATGCGCCAGATCCTCTCCAACCTCCGCGCCCTGCACCACGCAGGTCCGCCCCGTGCCCCTTCCGTCCCCCGAAGCCCCCCTCTTCCATGTTCTCTTGCTTGTCGCCGTGCTGCTCCCTCCATCTTCTCCATGCACACGCATGCACCCCATTCACCGTGTACTATGTGCTGTGTGCCATGTGCCACGTGCCATGTGCGCGGTGCACGGGGTGTGTGGAATGGGCATGGGGGGCGCACAGGAGTGGTGCACTGCACAGGGACGTGAAGCCGGCCAACCTGGTGGTGCACCCCATTCACCGTGTGTTATGTGCCATGTGCCCTGTGCCATGTGCCCTGTGCCATGTGCCCTGTGCCATGTATGCTGTGCGGCATGGGGGGCGCACAGGAGTGGTGCACCGGGACGTGAAGCCGGCCAACCTGGTGGTGGACGAGGGCGAGCGCCACCTCTGCCTCATCGACCTCGGCGCCTGCGTTGACCTGCGCTCCGGCCGCAACTATGTACGTCCCTCACTGTGTGGCCAGCGACTACATACGTCCCTGCGTGCGTGTGCTATCTTGTGTGTGCACCGTACTTATTTGTCCCCATTCATGCAGCAGCGGCACTCTATTCACCCGTGCCGTCCGCATGCTGCCCTCCCCCCCCCCCGCAGGTGCCCAGTGAGACGGTGATGGATCCCAAGTACGCCGCCCCCGAGCGCTTCGTCATGCCGCCCGCCACCACGCCGCACCTGCCGCCCGACCCGCTGGCATCGCTGCTGTCGCCGTTCATCTGGGTGGCCAACTCCCCCGACCGCTTTGACGTCTTCTCCGCTGTACGCCCTTCCCCCTGCTGCCCTTGCTGGACGTCCTGCCCCTGCAACCTCACCTTCTCTTCCCACTGCCAGTATGATTGATTCCTCATTCCAATTACCCCTTGCAATGCCTAACTTGCTCTATTTCGTCCTTCCTTCCTCACCATGCTCACAGGGCGTGGTGCTGATGCAGCTCTCCCTCAAGTCGCTGCGCCATGAAGCCAACCTGGTCAGTGCACCCGCCCACCCTGCCCACCCGCCCATGCCTCCCACCGCCTCATGATCCCATGCCACACCATACGCTGCCATGCCCTGTTTTCTGAAGCTATGCGGGTCTGTGCTGTGTGCCCAACGCCTGCGTCCACTGTGCTGTTATGTGCCTCTGTGCGTGGGTGACGTGCTGGGCCGTGCATGCGGGGGTGGGATGGGACCACCAGGAGGGGTTCAACAACGAGTTGAAGCGGTGCGACTACGATCTGAGCAGGTGGCGGAAGAAGTTCCGCCCCGCCAGCGCTGACATGGCCGTGCTCGACGCCCATGGTATGCTCCATGCACGCCTCACCCGTGTGTGTGCACATCATGGCACAGCATGCCACTGCGCTGAGACGAATCTGCCGTGGGTTTCGATGACCGTCTCAAGTGCCCATCCTCTCTTACTCTATCCCCCTCCCTGGACCTTCGGCCTTGCGCCCCCCTGCCCCCGCATCTGCTTGTGTGTGTGTGGTGTGGCAGGCGGAGCGGCGTTTGACTTGGCAAAGCAGCTGCTGCAGAAGCGACCCAACCACGACCACGCCGTGTGGCCCAGCGGTGCGTTGTGCCTCAACCACACTGCCTGTGTTTGTGTTTGTGTGGAGAGTGGCATGGAGCATTGAGTGCGTGTTGAAGTGCCATCAGTGAACCTTCGCCAGCTCCCACAAGATGCTCTTGTATCACACTAGAGTATACTTTCATTGCGAGCTAAAACGCATGTGCCACTCGCCCTCTAACTTCCCTCTCGCCCTCCGCTGCCTCTCCCCTCCCCCCCTCCCCCCTCGCCAGTGTTTGGCATGGGGCGGCCATCAGCAGGCCGCGCCCTGCGCCACCGCTTCTTCTCCCTGCACTCCCCTCAACCCTTCCGCCTCCCCCGCTCCCCCCCCTCCGCCACGCCCGCGTCCGCCCCCGCCACCGCTGCCCCTGCTGCTGCTGCGCCCGCCACTGCCCCCTCTGCTGCTGCCAGGCGCAGCATGGCGGCCCCCCCTGCTGCCCCCACTGCTGGTGGCGCTGCTGCTGGGCGCGCGGGCAAGGGGGAGAGGGCGGAGAGGGCGGAGCGGGGGGAGCATGGGGAGAAGGGGGAGAAGGTGCAGGTTGGGGAGGATGCGCGGGGGAGACACAAGGACGTGGGACGGAAGAAAGGCCTGGGTGCTGTGGAGGTGGCGGCAGGAGGTGCCAAGGCAGGCGAGAGGAGTGACGGCGTGAGAGGGCGAGGGGAGGCAGGCCACGCAAGAGGGGATGTGCGAGGAGGGAAGGAGGCAGCGGCACAGGGAGGAGGTGCGAAGGAGGGCAGTGAGGTGGGGAAGGGGTTGCTGGTGCATGCGCTCAAGGCCGTGGTGCCGCCTCCCACCGCCCACCACCCCCAGCCCCCCCTGCACGCCCCCACTGCTGGCGGGGCCAAGGCAAGGCGGGCAGCACCGGGTGACAAGTCGGGGCAGGTTGCAGGCAGGGGGGACGCGGAGAGCGCAGAGGGGGAGAGCGGCAGGGGCAGGGGAGCAGGCGTGAGGGCGAGGGGGGAACGCGGGAGGGCGGGGAGCAGGCCAGTGGATGTGGCGGGGGCGGTGAAGCGCGGGCACGTGGCGACAGCGTACGTGCTGGGGTCGCTGGTGGCCGGGCTCGCCCGGTCGCTGGATGACGACAAGAGCCGCGGCGGGGGTGAAGGGGATGCAGGCATGAGGCGTGGTGTGGTGGGCAGCGAGGCGGAGGCGGGTGAGGGTAAGGAGGCCACGGGAGGAGGTGGGAAGGATGAGAGAGATGGGGAAAAAAGGGAGGTAGAGGGCAGGAAGGATGGGATGGAGAACGAAGCTGGGCGTGTGGTGGGGGGTGGTGCAGAGAGGTCAGGGGTGCAGGCGGGAGGCGATGGAGCGAGGGTGGAGATGGGACAGGGGAAGGCAGTCGAGGCGGGGGGCAGGAGGCGGGAGGGGGGGAGTGAGGGGGGCGTGGGAGTGAGTGTGGCTGTGGGCATGGCGGAGGTGGGGGTGGCAGCAGCGGGTGCGACAGCGACGGCAGTGATGGCAATAGCGTCCTCCGTGTGGCGCGACATGGCCACCCCCTCGCCCGCCCCTCCCGCCCCCACTGCCCGCAGCAGCCCTGTGACAGCAGTGGTGGAGGCCAGTGAGCAGGGCAGTGGGAGGAAGGGGGGGGGGGAAGGAGAGGAAGGAGCAGGAGAGGGTGTTGCAAGAGGCAGTGGAAGCAGCAGCGGAGGAGCGGGAACGGATTCTGAGGGGGGTTGTGGGGAGTGAGGGCGGCAGGCAGCAAGAGGGGTCGCCTGTGGAGTTGCATGCAGTGGTAGGAGGTGGCGAGGGAGGGGCGTATGTGGGGGGGGTGGAAGTGGTGGCGCGGGAGGGGCGTATGAGGCGGCAGGTGGAGCGGCAGGTGATAGCAGAGGAGCTGCTGACGTCAGTGGGCGAGCTGGGGGTGCAGCTGGGGTCACTGGAGGAGTCGCTGCAGGCGGGCCGGCATGTGGCAGCAGAGCAGCAGCAACTGCTCACCCGGGTCAGTGCTGTGAGAGCCACGCTTGCCAAGACCAGGAACTGATCACCAACCTGTCAGGGATGCTGTACAACTTGTGGCTTATCACAGCTTGTCTCGCCCTGTTTGTCTTCCCCTTCTCATCTTTCAAGTGCAGATGGAAAAGCTTCTTGTGACTCCAACCCATAAGCATGCAGCCTCTCCCACTGTGAACACCACTGGTTTGCCTTCAGTCCACAACGGCATGCCATTGCTACAAGACGCGTGCCAATATGACAGGACTGAAAAATAGGGCAGACCGGATATTTGCCTGCACAAGCTACCTCTTTGTAGAACTAAGTTAGTGAATCATAGGATTTGAAACTGGACCACCTCAAATGACCCTCAAACTGGTTCTAGAGCAAGCTGAGAAACTACTACCTATTAAACCTACGAGCAATGGAAAGAGGGAGAATGGGCAGGGTGATGGAAAACGCAACAATGGGGCGGGGTGATGGAAAGAGGGAGAATGGGGCGGAGTGATGGAAAATAGGAGAATGGGGCGGGGTGATGGAAGGACGGAGAATGGAGCGGGGTGATGGAAGGAGGGAGAATAGGGTGGGGTGATGGAAGGAGGGAGAATGGGGCGGGGTGAGTGCAAAATTGCAAGAACAAGTGTCTAGCGAGTGCAAAATTGCAAGAACAAGTGCCTAGCTAGTGCAAAATTGCAAGAAAAAGTGTCTAGCGAGTGCAAAATTGCAAGAACAAGGGCCTAGCGACTGCTAAATTGCAAGAACAAGTATCTAGTGAATGCAAAATTTCAAGAACAAGTGTCTAGCGAGTGCAAAACTCCAAGAACAAGTGTCTAGCGAGTGCAAAATTGCAAGAACAAGTGTCTAGCGAGTGCAAAATTGCAAGAACAAGTGCCTAGGTAGTGCAAAATTGCAAGAAAAAGTGTCTAGCGAGTGCAAAATTGCAAGAACAAGGGCCTAGCGACTGCTAAATTGCAAGAACAAGTATCTAGTGAGTGCAAACTTTCAAGAACAAGTGTCTAGCGAGTGCAAAACTCCAAGAACAAGTCTCTAGCGAGTGCAAAATTGCAAGAACAAGTGTCTAGCGAGTGCAAAATTGCAAGAACAAGTGCCTAGGTAGTGCAAAATTGCAAGAAAAAGTGTCTAGCGAGTGCAAAATTACAAGAACAAGGGCCTAGCCACTGCAAAATTGCAAGAACAAGTATCTAGTGAGTGCAAAATTTCAAGAACAAGTGTCTAGCGAGTGCAAAACTCCAAGAACAAGTGTCTAGCGAGTGCAAAATTGCAAGAACAAGAGTCCAGTGAGTGCAAAATTGCAAGAACAAGTGTCTAGCGAGTGCAAAATTGCAAGAACAAGTGTCAAGCGAGTGCAAAATTGCAAGAATAAGTGTCTAGCGAGTGCAAAATTGCAAGAACAAGGGCCTAGTGAGTGCAAAAATTGCAACAACAAGGGTCTAGCGAGTGCTAAATTGCAGGAACAAGTGTCTAGCGAGTACACAATTGCAAGAACAAGGGTGTAGCGAGTGCTAAATTGCAAGAACATGTGCCTAGCGAGTGCAAAACTGCAAGAAATAGTGTATAGCGAGTGCAAAATTGCAAGAACAAGTATCTAGCGAGTGCAAAATTGCAAGAACAAAGGCCTTGAGAGTGCAAAATTGCAAGAACAAGGGCCTAGTGAGAGCAAAATTGCAAGAACAAGGGCCTAGCGAGTGAAAAATTGCAAGAACAAGTGTCTAGCGAGTGCAAAATTGCAAGAACAAGGGCCTAGCGAGTGCAAAATTGCAAGAACAAGGGCCTATTGAGTGCAAAAGAACAAGAACAAGTGTCTAGCGAGTGGAAAATTGCAAGAACAAGTGTTTAGCGAGTGCAAAATTGCAACAACAAGGGCCTGGTGAGTGCAAAATTTGAAGAACAAGGGCCTAGCGAGTGCAAAATTGCAAGATCAAGGGCCTAGTGAGTGCAAAAATGCAAGAAATAGGGCCCAACGTGCGCAAAATTGCAAGAACAAAGGCCTAGCGTGTGCAAAATTGCGAGGACAAGGGCCCTAGCATGCGCAAAATTGCCAGAACAAGGGCCTAGCGTGTGCAAAATTGCCAGAACAAGGGCCTAGCGAGTGCAAAACTGCAATAACAAGGGCGTATCGTTTGCAAAATTGCAAGAACAAGAGCCTAGTGTGTGCAAAATTGCCAGAACAAGGGCCTAGCGTGTGCAAAATTGCCAGAACAAGGGCCTAGCGAGTGCAAAACTGCAAGAACAAGGGCCTATCGTGTGCAAAATTGCAAGAACAAGGGCTTAGCGTGTGCAAAATTGCGAGAAGAAGGGCCTTGCGTGTGCAAAACTGCCAGAACAAGGGCCTCACGAGTGCAAAATTGCAAGAACAAGGGCCTATCGTGTGCAAAATTGCAAGAACAAGGGCCTAGCGTGTGCAAAATTGCAAGAATTAGGGCCTAGCGTATGCAAAATTGCAAGAACAAGGGCCTACCGTGTGCAAAATTGCTAGAACAAGGGCCTAGCGTGTGCAAAATTGCAAGAACAAGGGCCTAGCGTGAGCAAAATTGCAAGAGCAAGGGCCTAGCATGTGCAAAATTGCAAGAACAAGGGCCTAGCGTGTGCAAAATTGCCAGAACAAGGGCCTAGCGTGTGCAAAATTGCAGGAATAAGGGCCTAGCATGTGCAAAATTGCAAGAACAAGTGTTTAGCGAGTGCAAAATTGCAAGAACAAGTGTCAAGCGAGTGCAAAATTGCAAGAATAAGTGTCTAGCGAGTGCAAAATTGCAAGAACAAGGCCTAGTGAGTGCAAAAAGTGCAAGAACAAGGGTCTAGCGAGTGCTAAATTGCAAGAACAAGTGTCTAGCGAGTGCACAATTGCAAGAACAAGGGTGTAGCGAGTGCTAAATTGCAAGAACAAGTGCCTAGCGAGTGCAAAACTGCAAGAAAGAGTGTATAGCGAGTGCAAAATTGCAAGAACAAGTGTCTAGCAAGTGCAAAATTGCAAGAACAAAGGCCTTGAGAGTGCAAAATTGCAAGAATAAGGGCCTAGTGAGAGCAAAATTGCAAGAACAAGGGCCTAGCGAGTGAAAAATTGCAAGAACAAGTGTCTAGCGAGTGCAAAATTGCAAGAACAAGGGCCTAGCGAGTTCAAAATTGCAAGAACAATGGCCTATTGAGTGCAAAAGAGTAAGAACAAGTGTCTAGCAAGTGGAAAATTGCAAGAACAAGTGTTTAGCGAGTGCAAAATTGCAAGAACAAGGGCCTGGTGAGTGCAAAATTTCAAGAACAAGGGCCTAGCGAGTGCAAAATTGCAAGATCAAGGGCCTAGTGAGTGCAAAATTGCAAAAAAAAGGGCCCAGCGTGCGCAAAATTGCAAGAACAAGGGCCTAGCGTGTGCAAAATTGCAAGAACAAGGGCCCTGCATGTGCTAAATTACAAGAACAAGGGCCTAGCATGTGCAAAATTGCCAGAACAAGGGCCTAGCGTGTGCAAAATTGCCAGAAGAAGGGCCTAGCGAGTGCAAAACTGCAAGAACAAGGGCCTAACGTGTGCAAAATTGCAAGAACAAGAGGCTAGTGTGTGCAAAATTTCCAGAACAAGGGCCTAGCGTGTGCAATATTGCCAGAACAAGGGCCTAGCGAGTGCAAAACTGCAAGAACCAGGCCCTATCGTGTGCAAAATTGCAAGAACAAGGGCTTAGCGTGTGCAAAATTGCCAGAAGAAGGGCCTAGCGTGTGCAAAACAGCCAGAACAAGGGCCTCGCGAGTGCAAAATTGCAAGAACAAGGGCCTAGCATGTGCAAAATTGCAAAAACAAGGGCCTAGCGTGTGCGAAATTGCAAGAACAAGGGCCTAGCGTGTGCAAAATTGCAAGAACAAGGGCCTAGCGTATGCAAAATTGCTAAAACAAGGGCCTAGCGTTTGCAAAATCGCAAGAACAAGGGCCTAGCATGTGCAAAATTGCAAGAACAAGGGCCTAGCGTGTGCAAAATTGCCAGATTAAGGGCCTAGCGTGTGCAAAAATGCCAGAACAAGGGCCTAGCGAGTGCAAAATTGCAATAACAAGGGCCTAGCGTGTGCAAAATTGCAAGAAAAAAGGGCCTAGCGTATGCAAAATTGTAAGAACAAGGGCCTAGCGTGCGTAAATATGCAAGAACAAGGGCCTAGTGTGTGCAAAATTGCAAGAACAAGGGCCTGGCGCGTGCAAAATTGCAAGAACAAGGGCCTAACGTGTGCGAAATTGCAAGAACAAAGGCCTAGCGTGTGCAAAATAGCGAGAACAAGGGCCTAGCGTGTGCAAAATTTCAAGAACAAGGGCCTAGCGCGTGCAAAATTTCAAGAACAAGGGCCTAGCGTGTGCAGAATTTCAAGAACAAGGGCCTAGCATGTGCAGAATTTCAAGAACAAGGCCTAGCGTGTGCAGAATAGCAAGAATAAGGTCCTAGGGTGTGCATAATTTCAAGAACAAGGGGCTAGCGTATGCAAAATTGCAAGAACAAGGGCCTAGCGTGTGCAAAATTGCAAGAACACGGGCCTAGCATGAGCAAAATTGGAAGAACAAAGGCCTAGCGTGTGCAAAATTGCAAGAATTAGGGCCTAGCGTATGCAAAATTGCAAGAACAAGGGCCTAGCGTGTGCAAAATTGCTAGAACAAGGGCCTAGCGTGTGCAAAATTGCAAGAATTAGGGCCTAGCGTATGCAAAATTGCAAGGACAAGGGCCTAGCGTGTGCAAAATTGCAAGAACAAGGGCCTAGCGTGTGCAAAATTGCAAGAATAAGGGCCTAGCGTGAGCAAAATTGCAAGAACAAGGGCCTAGCGTGTGCAAAATTGCAAGAACAAGGGCCTAGCATGTGCAAAATTGCAAGAACAAGGGCCTAGCGTGAGCAAAATTGCAAGAACAAGGGCCTAGCGTGTGCAAAATTGCAAGAACTAGGGCCTAGCGTATGCAAAATTGCAAGAACAAGGGCCTACCGTGTGCAAAATTGCTAGAACAAGGGCCTAGCGTGTGCAAAATTGCAAGAACAAGGGCCTAGAGCATGCAAAATTGCAAGAACAAGGGCCTAG